TGAACACTCGAAAACAACTGTGGGTATCACTGTATAATGTAACATGTAGAACTCTTGGCAGGTATAATAGTTCAGCAGTACCTGAACTGAAAATTCCAATCTAAGGACTTAGTTTGCTTTGAAGACTTCTTATTTCTGGGACCACAACTGATGACTTCTATCATGTATATAACTGTAAACTCACTGGTATTTTCTAGAAGCAAACAGTGTCATGAACAAATATACAATGGCAACAGCTATCACCAGGACAGATTTATGGTCACTTTTCTCCAAAGTGTTCCTGCTGACCTGAACCTTTGATTCCAGGTATCAGCATGCAGTTTTTACTTTCTACTTCCTAGAAATGGATTCCTTCAAACCAGTAACATTTCAGTGTAGACTGTTAAAATTAATTCTAATAGAATACTTTTTCTCATTTTAAAAGTGACTAATTGTGGGCCGGCGCCGTGGCTCAATAGGCTAATCCTCCGCCTAGCGGCGCCGGCACACCGGGTTCTAGTCCCGGTCGGGGCGCCGGATTCTGTCCCGGTTGCCCCTCTTCCAGGCCAGCTCTCTGCTATGGCCAGGGAGTGCAGTGGAGGATGGCCCAGGTGCTTGGGCCCTGCACCCCATGGGAGACCAGGAAAAGCACCTGGCTCCTGGCTCCTGCCATCGGATCAGCGCGGTGCGCCGGCTGCAGCGGCGGCCATTGGAGGGTGAACCAACGGCAAAGGAAGACCTTTCTCTCTGTCTCTCTCTCTCACTGTCCACTCTGCCTGTCAAAAAAAAAAAAAAAAAAAAAAAAAAGTGACTAATTGTTTGAAGATTCAAGAAAATATCCATTTCCAAAAATAAAAATGCTAGGAAGGAATTTCTGCATGAAAACATCACTTTGTGTTTATCAAGTACTAGGACCTAAGAGTTTCCCGCCTCTGTGAATAAGACAAACTACTGCCTGTCACTGACAGCAATTACAAGACACCATTAACTGTAAGATGTTTCACAGATGTCAATACAAAAGAAATCTGCATCTGAAATTTTAAATAAAGTATTTATTGAATCACTTACCATAATTTCTGAACATCCTTATAAGCTCAGTAAGGCAAACTTTTGAAAAGTTAAAACACCCTTTCTTTAATCCAGGCATTCAAGTTTCAGGTACTCAGAAAAAAATTGAACCACGTGGTGCAGCTGACACTCTATTCTACTCATGAACAATTCCATCTGCCTTTCTTCTTTCAAAAGGAACCTCAATCGTTCAGGTATCTTCCTTCTCCCACACAGCCACGTGGCACAAGTCAGGGAGGGGCACCAAATGACGGGACTTGGCCACCTTTCCCTTTCAGTAATTAGTGAGGTGCTCTGAGAAAGGTTTTCCTTATTGGTAAACAGAGATGTATACAGTGAAACAAGGCTCTGGATTCTCAGAGAGTTGTTGGCTCCCTATGAAATTGGAACTGCAATGACCACCTTGCCACCATGAGTGGAGTAAGTCAACTCATTTACAGCAGCAGAGCAACAGATGAAAACTCAACCAAGTTCTTGATGACGTTAAGCAGCTAAATTTTACAATGCTGAAATTGCTATCACATTAGTTCTAACTTCTTGCTATTGGAAGAATTCTTGCTAAAACAATAAAGTTCATTTTCATTACTGTTTAAGTCCTTTGATTCTTTTGGTAACTTGTTGAAAGCATCTTCAAAAATAATTTTTTAAAAATCTACTTAAGAGGCAGAAAAAGAGAGCACTCCTATCCACTAAGTTCATTCCCCATGTACCTACTGCAGCCAGGGATAGGCCTGGGCCAAAACTGGAAATGCAATCCCAGGTCTCCCATGTGCATAGCAGGGACCCAATCACTTGAGCCATCATTGCTGCCTCCCAGGGCTGGCACTGTAAAGAAGCCGGAATCAGAAGCCAGAGCAAAGAATCAAACCAGTTACTCCAATGTGGGACACAGGAGTCTTAAGGGCGAGGCTCAACACCAGCTCTCCCCAAAACACCACAGTCCATCAGACCCTGGATTCCTCCTAGATAGGCTACCAGCAAGGTTTTAACAGGTGTATAAAGGCTTTTCCCTGGGACAGGGGTTTTGAGTACCCCTGATTTAACTGAAAAGGATCTATGCTACCATAGCTGGCACTAACTTTTATATAGAACAAGAAGGAAATTGGCCTAAACAACAGGAATCCCATAGGCTACCAACTGGGGAGGAAAAAAGTCAAGCTTTTCAGCATCACCATTAAATAAAAGAGAAATCTAGTATAAGGCTGTCCCATATGGTCCAGTTCGTAAGGAAAAGGATTATCTGTGATAATCATGTCTAAGAAAACAGTTACATTTTATTGATGCTTAAGAGTAATTTAAGGGACCATTTCAGTAGTCCCAAATACCCAGCCAGGAACAACACTGAAAAACAATGTCCTCAAGTTTCTGCAGACAGTCATCTCTTAAGAGAGAGAGAGGCAGGCAGGTGGGTTTTTGGCAAAGCAGTTTAGACACTATTGAGATGACCATATCTAGTATCAGTGTCTAGGTTACAGTCACAGCTCCACTTCCAGCTTCCTACTAATGAGCACCCTGGGAAGCTGCAGGTGACAGTGCAAGTACTTGGATCCCTGTCACTCATGCAGAACCCCAGACTGAGTTCCAGGCTCCTGGCTTCAGCTCAGTCCAGCCCTGGCTGTTGTAGATATTCGGGGAGTGAACCAGTGGATGGAAGATGTCTGTCTCTGCCTTTTAAATAAATTAAAAAGTAGCCGGCGCCTCGGCTCACTAGGCTAATCCTCCGCCTTGCAGCGCCAGCACACCAGGTTCTAGTCCCGGTCGGGGCGCCAGATTCTGTCCTGGTTGCCCCTCTTCCAGGCCAGCTCTCTGCTGTGGCCAGGGAGTGCAGTGGAGGATGGCCCAGGTGCTTGGGCCCTGCACCCGATGGGAGACCAGGATAAGTACCTGGCTCCTGCCATTGGACCAGCGCGGTGGGCCGGCTGCAGCACACCGGCCACGGCAGTCATTGGAGGGTGAACCAACGGCAAAGGAAGACCTTTCTCTCTGTCTCTCTCTCTCACTGTCCACTCTGCCTGTCAAAAAAAGAAAAAAAAAAAAAGTAAACAATAAAAACTTTAAAAAGAGAAAAATCCACAGTGATCTGACATAAAACATTTTCTCTCTATATTCGTTTCAAAAAAAAGAGACTTGTTTTTCCTATACACAGATATAAGAGAAACTCAGTTTGCCAAAGCTTACAGGTGTGAAAACAAATGTGAACATTTTTGTTTTTTTTAACTTAGGGTCAAGGGGTGGGTGGCAGTACTACTGGCATCTAGCAGGTAAAAGTTGAAGATGCTAATAAAATGCAGAGAATAGTTACCCTACAATGAAGATTTACATAGTTCCAAACATCAATGGTGCCAATATACAGAAATTCTGAACTAGATAATAGGTTCAGGAGTTACTGTATCACAACATCAAATGTCATGACAGGAAATTACAAGCATTTTTATAAATGCTGCATGAAAAAATGAGCACATAATTACAGCACATCCTGGATAATTTGAGCTATTACAACTCATAACCAGTACGTATAAACAAATACAAAATTGCTAATCCTCAGAGGTCCCTTCTGTAAGGATCAATCATAACAAATTCATTTCTTAATATTTTAACAATCAAAAATCTCTTCTACTGAAATAATGAAGCCAACTCTAGGAACACCAACCAACAGGAAGTGTCAAACTTTAACTGAAAAACCTAAAAATGCTAACACCCACAGTCTCTCAGGATAGCAGAGGTGGCTGCATCTACAAATATGATTTGAGCTACAATTCATCCGTCATTGAAATTCAAATGAGTGCAGAGGTAGAAGGTGACAGAATTTTACAAAGAATTGAACAAAAAATCCCAATGCTAATCATCACTGGCAAAGTTGATATTCTTTTCTACTAACACATGAAGGTCACAGAAAGGGCGATGCACACAGCCTTGTTTCAAGTACCTTTGTTACTCAAAATACAAGATGTTTTCTATGCTTTCAGGTAAAGAACAATGAACTTGAAACAATATGTAGACAAAAGGCTAGAAAGTAAAACTGGAAATAAGTTGGCAGAGTTGAGGGCTCCATAATAAACTTTAAACATGGTTAGACGTGAGCACTTGGCCTACTGGTTAAGATGCTACCTAGGACGCATCTCATGTCAGAGCACCTGGGTACATGCCCTGGTTCTGCTCCTGATTCTAGCTTGTGGCTAATGTGCACTTAAGGAAGCAAGAGGTGATGGTTCAAGTACTCTGTTCCTGCCACTGATGTAGGAAACCCAGAATGAGTTTTTGGCTCTCAGCTTTGGCCTGGCCCAGACCCAATTGTAGACATTTGAGCAGTGAATCAACAGATAAGAGCTCACTCTCTGTTTATCTGTCTGTCTCCCTGCCTCTCAATTTAAAAACAAACAAACAAACAACACATAACAATGGGCAACTGTTGTGCCACAGTGGATTAAGCTGCTGCTTGGGACATTCACATTTCATATTGGAGTGCTGGATTGAGTACTGGCTGCTCTTCTTCCAATCCAAAGCAAAGCAATCTGCAGATATTAACCAAAATGGACTTCAAAGACAAAGGCTTAATATTTAGTATTTCAGTAATTTTTTTAAAGATTGATTTTATTTATTTGAAAGTCACAGAGAGAGAAAGGTAGAGGAGGGAGAGGGAGAGGGAGAGAGGTCCTCCATCTGCTGGTTTACTCCCCAAATAGACATAAGAGCTGGAGTTGGGCTGACCTGAAGCCAGGAACAGGGGGCACCCCAGGGACTTGGGCCATCCTAAACTGCTTTCCCAGGCCATCAGCAGGGAGCTGGATCCAAAGTGGAGCAGCTCAGACTCAAACTGGCACCTATATGGGATGCCAGTGCCACAGGTAGGTGCTTAACCCACTGCACCACGTGCCAGGTCCCTCAGTGACACTTTCACTAAACTAATACTCCTTGCCACTGCCACACCTAATTCTGACTTTATCATTTCTTACCTTCCTCCGGGGCAGCTGCAGCTCCTTCAGGTAGCACAGGCTGCAACTCTTCAGTTTCAGAATTATTTTCCAAATCAGTCACCTGCAATCCTTCCAGGCGACCTCCTTTAGCACTAGCCCTAAAAGAGAGAAAGCATAATTTGGTATTTTTATAAAACCAGTAAGTGACACAATAAGGTATATTTCCTTTTTCTGAAAATGAACACCAAACCAAGTAGAGGCCAGCGCCGCAGCTCACTAGGCTAATCCTCTGCCTAGCGGCGCCGGCATACCAGGTTCTAGTCCCGGTTGGGGTGCCAGATTCTGTCCTGGTTGCCCCTCTTCCAGGCCAGCTCTCTGCTGTGGTCAGAGAGCGCAGTGGAGGATGGCCCAAGTGCTTGGGCCCTGCACCCCATGGGAGACCAGGAGAAGTACCTGGCTCCTGGCTTTGGATCAGCGTGGTGCGCCAGCTGCAGCGCGCCAGCCGCGGTGGCCATTGGAGGGTGAACCAACGGCAAAAGGAAGACCTTTCTCTCTGTCTCTCTCACTGTCCACTCTGCCTGTCAAAAAAAAAAAAAAAAAAAAGTAGAGTACATGCAAAGGTGGTAACAAATTTCAAATTTTGTGTTATTGTTTATTATTTTGAAATTTGTATTTATTTTCATTTCATTTGAAAGGCAGAGACAGATGGAGAGGTATCTTCCAACCACTAATTCGCTTCTCAAATGCATGCAATAGTTATGGCTGGGCTAGACCAGGAGCCTGGAACTCAATCAAGGTTTCCCAAGTAGACTGCAGAAACCCAAGCACTTGAGGCACCATTTGTTGCTTTCCAGGGTGTGCATTAGCAGGAAGTTTAATCTGAAGCAGAGGAGTCAGGACTTGAATGACACAATCCAATAGGGGACATACACATCCCAAGCAGCAACTTAACTACTGCACCAAATGTCTGCCCCTCAAAAAGTTAAAGACTGATTGATTGATCTATTTATTTGAAAGGCAGAGTCACAAAGAGAGGGACAGAAAGAGGTATCTTCTATCTACTGGTTTACTCGCCAAACAACCTCAACAACCAGGTCTGAGCCAGGAGCCAGAAACTCCATCCTATTCTCTCACATGGTGGCAGGGGCACAAATACTTGGGCCACCTTCTGTTGCTTCTCAAGTCCATTAGCAGGAAGCTGGATAGGAAGTGGAGTAGATAGGACTTCAACCAGCACTCTTATATGGGCTGTAGCTATTAAGCAGTGGCTTAACCCACTGTGCCAAAATGCTGCCTACCAAATATACTGAGTGAGAAAATAAGGCACATCTTTTATATTTATTCATTTATTTTTAAAGATGTATTTTTAATATACTTGAAATTCAGAACTTCAGAGAAAGAGAGGCAGAGACAGATAAAGAGAGATCTTCATCCACTAGATCACTCCCCAGATGGCTGCAAAGACCAGGGCTGGGCTAGGCCGAAGGCAGGAGCCAGAAGGTTCATCTGGGTCTCACACATGGGTGCAGAGGCCCAAACACTTGGGCCATCTTCTGCTACTTTCCCAAGGCCATTAGCAAGGAGTTGGATAGGAAGTGGAGCAGCCAGGACGCCAACCAGTACCCATATGGGATGCCAGTGTTAACAGGCAGCAGCTTTACCTGCCACACCACAATGTTAGCACCACATCTTTTAAATTTAAAAAGCTACACAGGAAAATAGGGTTTTTTTGTTTTTTTTTTGTTTGTTTGTTTGTTTGTTTTTAAAGTAGGGAGACTGCCATCTCAGGGAAGAGTTTGGGGAAAATGGCAGAGGAAAGTCCACACAAATTAGAGGGACACTGTGGATCTACGTGGAGGGTGTGGACATGCACAACTCAGGGCCCCAGCAGCCGAGAACCTCAGCACCAGTTCTGGAGTGAGGTGAGACCAGTCTGTAGCAGCCCAAGCCACTGGCAATAAAGCTGTGCTTACACTAAGGACTGCACAGAGTCTTTGTGTGGTTCTTGTGGCAATGCAGACAAATATTATACCCACTGGGGCTAGTACCCAGGCACTGGTCTCCTTTGAGGAGGAGAGATAAGCATGAGACTACACCAACAGAGCAAAACAAAGCTCCCCTCTGATTAAAAAAAGGGACATTTACCATACCCAACCGGGGTGTCACCCTGGAACTCCCTTCACCCTGGAGCACTGCACAGAGCTCCCTAGCCACAGCCACCACACACCTCTAGGGATTAACTGAAAAAGCAGACACTACAGTAATTCACAGAGGCATAGTCCAAAGATTAAAGCCATCACAGGGAAGAAACAGAGAAGAAATCAATAAGTAGCCCCACAAATGCTGAATGATAAGCAGCAATTCAAGAAACAAGAATAAGGAACACAACACGACACCCCCAAACAAACACAACACTTCAATATTAGAATGTGAAAATGAGAAGATTGAAGAAATGACAGAAATGAAATTCAAAAAATTGATTGTAAGATTATTTAGAAGTAATCAGAAGCAAACCCACAAACTAAATGAAATCTGTACATGACATGAAAGAAAATTTCTCCCATGAAATTGAGAACTTAAAGAGAAACCAAGGGGCCACCTGCTGTGGCGCAGCAGGTTAATGCCCTGGCCTGAAGCGCCGGCATCCCAAATGGGCACCAGTTCGAGTCCTGGCTGCTCCACTTGCAATCCAGCTCTCTGCTATGGCCTGAGAAAGTGGTGGAAGATGGCCCAAGCCCTTGGGCCCCTGCACCCATGTGGGAGACCCAGAGGAGGCTCCTGGCTCCTGGCTCCTGGCTCCTGGCTTCGGATCAGTGCAGCTCTGGCCATTGCAGCCAACTGGGGAGTGAACCATTGGATGGAAGACTTCTCTGTGTGTGTGTGTGTGTGTGTGTGTAACTCTTTCAAATAAATAAATAAAAATCTTAAAAAAAATAGAGAAACCAATATGAAATATTGGAAATGAAGAATTCAATAGAACAAATAAAAAATATGGTATACTCGGTGAAGCAGAAGAAAGAATATCTGACTTAGCAGATAAATCACTGGAAATTTTACAGTCGAACTAAAAACAATAAGAAATTAGAAAACTAAAAAACACTGTTGGAGATCTACAGGATACTATCAAATGACCCAACATATGGGTCTTAGGAGTTACTGAAGCCATGGAAAGAAAGAAAGGATTAGAAGGCATTTTTAGTGAAATAATAACAGAAAACTTCCCTAATGCAAAACTCCTAATAGACATGACCAGAAAAGAACGTCATCACGGCACATTGTAGCCAAACTCTCCACAGTAGAACATAAAGAAAAGATTCTAAAATGTGCATGAGAGAAATGCCAGATTATTTTCAGAGGATCTCCAATTAGACTCACAGCTGACTTCTCATCAAGAACTCTACAGGCTAGGAGAGAATGGCGAGATATATTCCAAATCTTAAGAGAAAAAAACTGTCAACCCAGACTACTATAGCCTGCCAAACTCTCATTTATGAATGAAGGTGAAATAAAGAACTTCCATATCAAACAGAAATTGAAAGAATTTGTTACCACTTGTCCAGCCTTACAAAAGATGCTTAAGGATATGTTACACACAGAAACGTAAATACTTGGTCATCACTAAGAAAGAAAGTGCAAGCAGAAAATTGTCCAGTAAAAATACAAAGGAAATACAAAGTAAAAAAATAGGAATATTTATGGAAAAATGGCAGGCCAAAGTCATTACTTATCAATAGTCACCTTAAATGTAAATGGTCTCAGCTCTGCAGAAATAGACTGGCTGAATGGATTAAAAAACGGGTCTATTTGCTGCCTACAAGAAAAACATCTCACCAACAAAGATGCATGCAGACTGAAAGTGAAAGCATGGAAAAAAAAGGTATTCCATGCTAACAGAAACCAAAAAAGAGCTGGTGTAGCCACCTTAATATCAGACAAAATAGACTTTAACACAAAAACTAAAAGAGACAGAGACACTTTAAAGAGACAAAGTTAAAAGAGACAAAGAAGGGCACTATGTAATGATTAATTACAGGGCACCTGACTATTTAAAAGAAATGCTAATGGATCTAAAAGGGAGAAGACACGGACTCCAACACAATAATAATAGGAGATTTCAATATCCTACTTTCAGCAATGGACAGACCAACCAGTCAGAAATCAGCAAGGAAACAGTTAATCAACACTAATCAACACTATAGACCAAATGGACCTAACAGATAACTAAGAATTTTCCATCCTACAGTCACAGAATACATATTCTCCTCAGAAATGCATGGAACTTTCTCTAGGATTGATCACATGCTAAGCCATAAAGCAAGTCTCAGCAAATCCAAAACAATCGAAATCATACCGTGCATCTTCTTCTTCTTCTTTTTTTTTTTTCTTTTGACAGGCAGAGTGAAAAGTGAGAGAGAGAGAGAGACAGAGAGAAAGAGAAAGGTCTTCCTTTTGCCGTTGGTTCACCCTCCAATGGCCGCCGTGGCTGGCGCGCTGCGGCCGGCGCACCGTGCTGATCCGAAGCCAGGAGCCAGGTGCTTTTCCTGGTCTCCCATGGGGTGCAGGGCCCAAGCACTTAGCCCATCCTCCACTGCACTCTCTGGCCACAGCAGAGAGCTGGCCTGGAAGAGGGGCAACCGGGACAGAATCCAGTGCCCCGACCGGGACTAGAATCTGGTGTGCTGGTGCCGCTAGGCGGAGGATTAGCCTATTGAGCCGCAGCACCGGCCCCGTGCATCTTCTTGTAACATAATGGAATAAAGCTCGAAATCAACAAATCAAGAATCTCTAGAACATATGAAAACATCTGGAGACTGAACAACATGAATGAAGAGTGGGTCATTGAAGAAATCAAAAGATAAATGAAAAAATTTCTGGAAAAAAATGAAGATGACAATACAACATATCAAAACTTATGGGATACAGCAAAAGCAGTGTTAAGAGGAAAGTTTATAGCAATTGGTGTCTACATCAAAAAGTTGGAAAAGCACTACTAAATAAATGAGCTATCAATTTATCTCAAGGCCCTAGAAAAACAACAGCAAAACAAACCTAAAACTAGTAGGAGAAAAGAAATCATTAAAATTAGAGAAAAAAAAAAAAAAAATTGAAACTAAAAAAAAATACAAAAGGTAGTGAAATGAAGAGCTGGTTTTTTGAA